AAGACTCCTAAGGTGAAGTTTCAGCTTTCTGGAGCTTGGTGCAAGTTTTTGAGAACAAATGAAAACATAATCAAATTGGGGCATCGCATTGGATTTCCAAACGAGGCGACCGAGCATGCATCCAATCTTCTCCCTCCGAGAACCTCCTAATTTACTGCTTTCCTTAGCTGCCATGCTTAGATAACTAGTTTATGCTTTGGTTTGTACTTAAATAGTTAATGCGTTTAGCTATGTCAATTCGTTTTGTAATAATTAGTTAACTAGGATTAGTTAATTAATTTGTTGTGTAATAATTAGTTTAATTAGCTTAGATTAGCTAGTTTAGCTAGTTAGCTTCTTATTTGGTCCCTCCCTCGAGAGGGCGTATCATTGTAATAAGCGTGCGTGTGTGTGATGCATGTCTTCCAATTCCTATTTCTTTCTCCCTTTTACTTAACTGCTTACGATGGTTAGTTTTAGGGCATGTTTCATTTAGCATACCTTATGCTTGCATGTTTGCATCCATTCATCTGTACTGCATGCACTGGGCTCGATGCATCATGCTAACTGTATTGTATTTCAATTTCAATTTGAATACATGTACCAAGTTGCATTTCACATGACATTCTAGAATAGCCAAGCCTATGTTAGTTGCGTTCTCGCATGTGTTGCATTAGCCATCTTAACATGAACTAGGATCATGCATAATTTCTAATTAGTTCTTTGTTTTGGCTCGGAGTACACTGTGAGTGTTTACGCTTTAGCGTACCGCATGTGTGTTAATGTTGCCATGAAAGCATGCTTGCCATGAGGCTAATTGCTTATTTTCTATAACTGTCTGAATGTCTGTAGGTGAAGGTTGGATTACTAGAATTGAAACAATTCATTGAAATTCGCATTTTAGCCTATTTACAAGTAGCAAACTTCAAACTATTTTTCAAACAAACAGATATGCGATGCTTCGTTCCAAATTAGGCGATCTAGTCTATACTTGTTGCTGTGTGCATCACGTAGTAAGATTAGCTAATTAATCGGAATAAGAGCGCATGTGTTTTCAAAAACAAGATATCATGCTTAGTACAGGCCGATCTTTGATCGGGCGAGCGGGGGTGCTTATTAAATGGCCTTTCCCAATCGTACCCAAGTTCCTGAACCGAGGCAACTTTGGTGATGATGGACACGTGGCCTTAGGCACAAGTCAGGGTTTCCTAAATTTCTCCAAAATAAAATATTTAGGTGGCGACTCTGTATCTGGCAAAGCAGTCTATGTTTGGCACTTCTTTATTAAAAATCAGTTTTCCAAAACGATTTGCCAGATTTGAACTCTTTGGTGATTTATCAGTCTCACATTGCATATTGTGAGATTAGATTCAGAACCGTGACATTTGAGTCCGAACTGTGGTATAAGCCCAAATGAACAAAACGGGATTCTCCCGGGGCGTTCGGGGCGCGTCCACACATATATAGAAAAATAGTATATATGATCAGATCTATTATAAATATTACTTAAAGGGATTTTACTATATATGCAAATATTTGATTAGAATATTATATAGAATGCATATAATATAAATAGAATATATCACATGAGCAATTAAATTTTTTACACTACATTGATTATATCATATTATAATAAAACAAGAAGAAAAAGATGGAGTCATATATTATAATAAAACAGGATGGAGCAAATCATTTGCTTGTTTGAAAGTTGTGAACTTTGTATTAAATTGTCTACAAAAACGGTGGCTTCATGTTTGAAAAAAACAAAAAAGGAAAAGAAAAAATTAGTTTTACTTTTTATCTTTTTAATTATTAACATTTGCTGACTATTTAAAATCAAGAAGCGTGCTTATGTAAGCCATGACGTCAGCAGCGTGCTTATGTTAGCCATGACATCAGCAGCGTGCTTATGCAAGCCATGACGTCAACAAAGAGCGTCCAACGGGTATATTTTTGTGTATAAATAGAAGTGTTGTGTGTGGAGAAAAAAATCAAGAACTTGAAGAGAAAAATTTCTGTGTGCTCCAAAATTCTGAATATATTGTATTCTGCTCTTTCACTTTCAAATCTAAGTGTAGCCATTGTTCTTACACTTTCATATCTACTCTTTGTGAGAGAATTATTGTAAAAGAGAGTTTAAGTACCACTTATTTTTATTCATTATTTTTGTGAGAGATTTTGTAAGGGTGGGGCATTTATTATTGAGTGAGGCTCAATAGATAAGAGTAAGTCCTGTGCCAAATCCACAAGCTTGGTGGTGTATTTATTCAATTGATAATAAAGAAATTCTTGAGGAGGTTCCTTGGAGAGTGGACGTAGGCCTGGCGTGCCGAACTACTATAAATCTTAGTGTTTGATTTTCTCTCCCTATCTCTTTTACTTTTATATTGATAATCATTATTCTGTTTTTTTTTATTTGTTAAAATTTTGAATATTGTGTTAATTTTAATATTGTAAAATTTTTAATAACCCAATTCACCCCTCCTATTGGGTTGCCTACCTGGGACAATAAGTGTTAACTGCATTTCGTACCACAAAAGGCATCTATTGTTATAAAGCGATGCCTTTTGGACTCAAGAATGCCAGTGCCACCTATCAACGTGCCATGCAAAAAATATTCGATGACATGCTCCATAAATTTGTTGAGTGCTATGTTGATGATTTGGTGATCAAAACTAAGAAAAGAGAAAATCACCTAGAGGACCTTCGTGCAGTCTTCAATCGGCTGAGAAAGTATGACTTGAAGATGAATCCACTCAAATGAGCATTTAGAGTCATGTCTAGAAAATTCCTTGGCTTTATTGTTCGACATAGAGGCATTGAGGTCGATCAGTCCAAAATCGATGCTATACAAAAGATGCCACCACCAAAAAACTGAAGGAACTTAGAAGCCTCCAAGGTCACTTGGAATATATCCGCAGATTCATTGCAAACTTGGTGGGCCATTGTCAACCTTTCAGTCGACTGATGAAAAAGGAGGCTCGATTTGTTTGGGATCAGGCATGTCAAAATGCTTTTGACAGTATTAAGAGATACTTGCTTCATCCACTAGTATTAGGAGCTCCTATTCAGGGGAAACCATTGATACTTTACATTGCGGCTCAAGAAGAGTCTCTTGGAGCGATGCTGGCCCAAAATAACAAAGAAAATAAAGAACGAGCACTCTATTACTTGAGTCGTAGATTAACTGAAAATGAAATCAAGTACTCACCCATCGAGAAAATGTGTTTGGCGCTTGTTTTTGCCTCTAAAAAATTGAGACATTATTTCCAAGCCCATACAGTGCATCTCATTGCAAGAGCCAGCCCAATAAAGTATGTTATGTCTAAGCCCATCCTCTCAGGACGCTTAGCAAGATGGTCTCTCCTCTTTAATGAATATGAGATAATTTAAAGCCTAGTTTGGGATACTCAAAAAAATTCAAAAAGCTAAAAAGTTACTAAAAAAGTTAAAAAGTTATCATTATTCACCAAAAAAAAAAATATAAAAAATTTAATTTTACACAAAATTATTACAAACAACTTTGACGTCCCACAGACAGTTTTTTTGAAAAATTGCACAGGCGGGGTGCACAAACAACACGGTGTTGTTCGGCCCATGGGGGCTCATCACGAGTCCCGTTTTCATAATCTGAACCGTTCAATGTGTAGAATTCGTCGAGTACTATATGTCTGTAAAAAATCACATTGATCGAATATCGCTAACTACATGATCAAATCAGGTTTATATAAAAAAAATGGATGATGTTATAGTTAATGGTTGAAAAAAAAACTAATCCGATCAGATAGTTATCGATATCCGATCAACGTAATTTTTTACAAGCATATAGCACTTGACAAGTTTTGCACATTGAATAGTTTAGATTATCAAAACGAGACCCGTGAGAGTCCCCATGGGCCGAATAACACCGTCCAATGCAATGCTCGAAAAGTAGGCAACCATTTCTTATCATCAATTCACTCTGCCCAGACAGACGGTCGTGCTGCCTACTGTCCTTATCTTCTCCTACATACTAATTTATACAATTTTTTAATACACATTTTTTCGTAAAAAGTCAAAAAGTTAACTCAAACAACCATCTTTTTTTACTCAAATTTTTAGTCCAAAAAGTCAAAAAACGCACTTATTTAGGACACCCCAAACAACATGCTGAGAAAAGCAGTGAAAGGGCAGGCCCTTGCATATTTTTTGGCCGACCATCCCATCATTGTTGATTTGGAAATTTCTAAGGAATTCCCTGACGAAGATGTCTTGTTCATAGAAGTTTTATAGCCTTGGATGATGTTCTTTGATGGGACTGCCAAGTAGGAAGGGGCAGGAGCAGGTGTCATTTTTGTTTCACCACAAAAGCACATTTTGCCTTATTTATTCTTGGTAAAAATTGCTCAAACAATATTGTTGGTACCAGGCCTTGATCATTGGTTTACAAATGGCAACAGAGCTAAAAATTGTTGACCTAGTTGTCTATGGGGATTCTAAGTTAATAATTAATCAGCTCCGGGGGGATTATGAAGTCAAGAAAGACAATTTAGTCCCATATTTCCAGTATGCAACTTATCTCATTGAAAAATTTGAGGGGGTGGTACTCGAACATATTCCAAGGAAAGAAAATCGCATAGCTAATGCACTTGCCAATCTAGCAACTACACTGTCATTGTTAGAAGGTGAACAAGTTAGTGTCCCTGTATGTCAACGATGGGTATTGCCACAATTATTGGAATGTCGCCTTATAGAAACAAACGCAATTTCAGTACTAGCCATCGAAGTCGACGATTGGAGAATGCCAATTGGAGACTACCTTGAACATGGGAAGCTCCTTGATGATTCTCACCATAGAACTGAAATAAGACGTCGAGCCGAGCTCCTCGATTCATCTACTACAAGGAAACTTTATTCCAACGATCATTTGAAGGAATTTTTCTTCGTTGCCTAGGGGATAAAGAAGCTTAACAAGCCATGGAAAAAGCCCATTCTGGGATGCGCATCAGTCTGGTCCTAAACTTCACTTTCGAGTGAAAATGATGGGTTACTATTGGCCTACGATAGTTAAAGATTGCTCGGACTACTTAAGAAAGTGTCAACCTTGTTAGTTTCATGCAAACTTTATCTATTAACCACTAGAACCTTTACACCCGACAATTGCTTCTAGATGTAGTTGGCCCATTGACCAAGTCTTCTGCAGGCCACTTATACATCTCGGCCGCCACAGATTACTTCTCCAAATGGGCTGAAGTCGTCCCGCTTAAAGAAGTCAAAAAAGAAACTGCTGTTGACTTCATCAAATCCCATATTATTTATCGATATGGTGTACCTCGCTACATCATCACCGATAATGGAAAGTCTTTCTACAACAGTCCCATGGACAAACTTTGTGAAAGATTTGGATTTAAGCAACATAATTCCTCAATATACAATGCACCTGCCAACGGACTGGCAGAGGCGTTTCACAAAACTTTAGGCAACCTATTGAAAAAGGTAGTTGCTAAATCAAAGCGAGAGTTACATGAAAGAATTGAAGAAGCACTCTGGGCATACCGTACGACACATCGTACACCAACACAAGCCACCACATACTCCCTTGTGTATGGTGTTGAAGCGGTTCTTCCTTTGGAACAACAGATTCCTTAATTAAGGATAGCTACACAGGAAGGTCTCACTGATGATGAGAATGCAAAATTATGCCTTGCTGAGTTAGAAGCATTGGATGAGAAAAGATTGGAAGCACAACAAAAACTTGAGTGTTACTAAGCTCAACTCTCCAAAGCTTTCAATAAGAAGGTTAGACCCCGATCTTTTTAAGTTGGAGAATTGGTGTTGGCGTTCGAAGACCTATCATCACTACCTACTGAACCGGTAACAAGTTCTTGTCCAAATGGGATGGTCCATATGTGATGACTAAAGTCTACACTAATGGAGCATACAAGATTGTTGATGAAGAAGGTATAAGAGTTAGCCCAATCAACGACAAGTTCTTAAAGCGCTACTATCAATGAGAATGTAATGCTCCTAATCGCATGAGCATAAACTACATGATGCTTTTGGCCCATATGAAATAAAGTTGTTAAAAAAATAATAAAAAAAAATTGTACGACTCCTGGCCCGCATGAGTATAAACTGTGAATGGCTAAATAAATCAATAAAACTAAATGTGTTGTACAATAAGAGTATTTTTTTCTTCGAACTATAATATTTATTTCATAAATAAAGTGTTTGCAAAAGAAATTATTTTATAATGAAGTATTTGGTTTCGAGCTACATTTCACAAAAAAATGAAATAAAATAATAATAAATAAATAAATCATGGCAACCATGATAAACTCTGGATCTTGCCTTGTTCAACTTTCAAAAGCTGCTCCAACTTGTTGGCGACTTCAATATCCTCGCTTTGTATCACCTCAACTGCTTCTATTATAGCTTGTTCATCCCTTAAAGTGGAAACAATGGCTCACATTTGAACTACTTCAGCTTCAACAACACTAAGTGTAATCTCTAGCTGTTGTGATTGTTCATCTAAATATTTCAACGCCTTTAACAATTCTGCCTTCATTGTTGCAAGGCTACCCAAATCAGACTTCAGCAAGTGAACCTGCTCAACTCCTTCATTCTCAAGAGCTAGAGCATGATTGGCACGTTGACTGACATCCGCCAAATGCTGATCCTGTAGCTCTAAAGTTATCCCTTGAGCAAATGTTGATTTCATAGAGATGTACGTAGTAGTATTTTGTATGTACTTCTCAATCTGGCTTTGCAATAGAGAATAGTCTACCTGAAGCTTTGAGAGCTCATCATAAAACTCTTGGAGCTTTGGGCCCAATGCTGGAACTTTCCGAATAGGAGTTTTGCTCAATAAACCTTTAATATGGCTATCAAGTATTGAAGCTGCTGAGCGGCGAGCATTAGGGATCATGCTTCTTGTATCAATAGTAGAAGCCACGGAAGGTGCAACTTGACTCAGCGTAGGAGCAGTAGGTAAGGAAAAAGTTTGAACGATTGAAGTTGGGTCTACTGAGAGACAACTCTTACAGCCAATCACTAAATCAAAGGCTGATAGCCCATGAATTGATGCTTCATTATCTGAGAACTCATCAAGAAGTCTCATATCCTCATTTCTAGACGCCAAATCAAAGTTATCGTTTGGCAACTGTCAAAACAAGTTAAAGAGGAGTCAATATATATATATATATATATATTAAGGCATAATAAATTAAAATGACAAATAAAAGATTTTGTCATTACTGGTACAACATCGATAGCCAATGGTTGAGAAGTGCTAGGAACGCCGATCAAAAATGACTCCACGTCATTAAAAGTAGTTGTGTTCCTTCCAACGGTGCCAGTACTAGATTTTCTCCCTAAATGACGCCAATTACGATCACCGTAACTATGGTCCTTGTTTGCCACTCCACCATGAGTCCCACCAATACTTCCTCGAACCATTTTGTTGGTTTTGGGATTAGAATTTTGCTTAGTAACTGTATTTTTCTTCGCTTTAGCCATCTCTTGATTTGGTGAAACTGAGCGTTTGCTCCTTGGGACATAATTTTCTAAATAGCCTGCATAAAACTGGGAGCACCACTCCAAATAAGCCTTGGTAGTGGAACAAGATGGGAAATCAAAATGCACTGGTAACCTCAATACAAAATGGGTACCATCACAAACACAAGAATCCTAATGCTAAATAATGTTCTGTAAACTACCATCCTGAAGATCAACCTTGAGTTTACCAGGGATGGCTTGAATAAAACCAAATTGCCTGCTAAACCTATGAGGACTGTATGGCTCAATGACCATAGCGGGCGAACTTTGCAAGGTCAAATAGCTCGAGCGAATGCTGATGAAATACTCCAAGTCTGAGTTAGAAAGATGACCGTCATCAACCAATTCCTTGGGATTGCCCTCGCTATACGCCAAACGATACAAGGTCATATATTTGCATGATCGAAATAAGTCATAGGCCTCTGACTCCTCAAAATGTTTAGCCATCCTTTCACCAACATCTCGTCATTTAAAGCTTCAAGGCAGATTCAATACTAAAGTGTGTGCTGAAATACTCTGCTAACCAAGCATAAACATAATGGATCAAGAAGATGGCGTTGCACTTTCCAAGATCAGAAGAAGAAGCAATTCTATTCAGTCCTTTGTAGATGCTAGCAAGTACAGCAATAGCAAGGCTGAATGAACGACCACGAGCCATCATACTAGCAACCTTAAACACCCCAGGTCTAATCAAGTCGCCATCCTCACGGGGTAGAACATTTGCACAACCAACAGACAAGGAAAGCTGACAGATAGGTCTCACCCTTTGCCGCACCAGCAATCCCCAAGTCACTGAAGACTTGTCCCCTTGCACAGTTCGAGGCCGAGTTGTGTTAATAATACCAGAAGGGTTACTAGTATCCTTAAGGTGTTGAGTCTTGTTCCTTGAAGCCATCTTGGTTGATTTATGGTACTTGACTTTTTCTTTAAACCAAAATTTTATCCAGCTAGTAATCCTCACCACATTCTTCTTCGATTCCTTACAAAGCCGATGGTAAACAAAGAATAAATATCCGCAACTGACAGGAAGAAGGAAGTCCTTGTCCCTCATATTGCCAGCCAACTCTTGGGCATTTAGCACCACTTCATCGTATATTGCATCCTTCATAGGAAGACCACAAAGTTAACGCAAATCCCATAGCAAGATAGACATTTCGCCTATGAAAGCTTGAAGGGTATTAATGGACGGACACCAAAGCTCACAAAAGGCCCACATAACACTGTGCAGCTGGTCATATGTGAACAGTGAAGCATAAATTGCATCACAAATACCCGCCTGATTTAGTAGCTCACAATGTTGCCCCAGCACATCCTCCAACCACTCCCAATATCCTTCACAAAAAGAAGGCTCTGCTATGGCCTTGAAAATAGGGCCCCATGCCACCTTTTGATCCCGAACCGCACTCCCAAAGGTAGGAAATGAGCTAAGATCCTCAACTTCTTCATGGTTAGATGACTTTAATAATAAAACCATAAAGTGTGACAAGCCTTCAACCAATTGACGTGAAATCTTACGAGCCCATTGCACCAAATGAAAAGAACCATCAAGCAACTCAAACTTCAAGCCCCAAGAACCAAGGAAAGGAGGGCGAATTAGAAGAGTAGTCCCCTCCTCAATAGCATCACTAGAGTCCTCGAGAATGGTCAAGTATCCTTTCTTGAAAGTCTTGAAGTACACCCGCTACTACAAAAACAAATAAAAATCACACTTTTTTTGTGTGATGTATGTTATTTAATCACACCTTTTAAGTTTTATTAAAGTGTGATATTTGGGAGTGTGATTAAAAGGGATCATTTTTAATCACACATTTTAAGTGTGATTAAAAATATTTAGATCATACCTTTTAAGTGTGATTAAAAACATTTAGATCACACCTTTTAAGTGTGATAAATAACTTATAAAATCTCTGATAATAAATATTTAGATCACAGATTTTAAGTGTGATTAATATTTAATAAAACATGTGATTAATAATGAGATAATATCACACTTTTGTACGTGCATTTGAAGAATGTAATACACATTATATACTATATTTTAAATCACAACCCCATATTGAATAGAATAACATCATATATTTCATAAATGAAAGTTAAATATTCACAAGTATATACAAAGAAATTAATAAAAAGTTTTTAACTGTGATTACATATATTAAAAAATGAAAAACTTGAAAACACTAAGTTCTTGAATTCTTTGATCATATTTTGTATCTCTCTAAGAAATTTTTGATCTGAAAAATGAAAACACAAATTAATTCAGAAACCACTAGAAGCATATGAATAAACTTACTATTTGTAGAGACTGTTCTAGTCTTACAAAAAATAAACTCAGACTTTTTCTCATCACATTGACTCTTCATCTCCTGTATCAATAGAAAATGAATAACCGCATTGATTGTTATTAGTATAAAATGTTTGAATTACCATATAGATATGACATATACATAAAATTAATAAATCCAAAATGAAAATGTGAATGACACCATAGCATTACTATAGGCGGAGAAATGACACCATTGTCCATGTTCTGAATGTATGGTCGCGCCTTCTCTTCCAACATTTCATTCAACTGTAAATCAAAATGAATAATAGACTTTTGAACCAAACTTACCAATCATGAGTCATGACAGCTCAAATAATAAACTGCGACTCTCAAACAAATCAAACAATATTTGGAAAAACGATATTGGTTTGTGTTCTAGCGTTTCCATAGATCTGTTTAGCTAAAAAACTAACCTTTTAGAGCCAATAACAACATCAAACACTTAATTTAATAGAAGCCTAATCCTATTGCACTTTGGTTGGCTCAAAATTTTTTCCCTCTCAACCAATGTTGATCAGGATGTCATCTTGATAGCAATTGAGCCACCATTGTGATCAAGTTCATGCACCACAATTTATATCTATATTTAATACAAATATTTATCTTCAAAGATATTGCAAGGATTACTACCTTTTCTTGACGCCACTTTGTTTCCCACTATGCTTCCAAGATTTTATCAGCAGTTTCTCTTTGGGCATTAAGAACTGTCATCTCATATAATTTTTTTGGACTTTGAGGTCCTCTTCACTCCAAGCTGATGCATTCAATGGAAGGTTCACCTCCTGCAAATGCTCCACAATCATAGGATATCTGTGTGAACTAGAAAAGAAATTTCTCCTTTAAATGGGAAAAACTAGTTTGGAAGGGCACGTCACATAGGATATATATTGAATCTACTGGATAATTTCTCCCTTAAAGTCCTCTGAAGTGACGTGTTATCATATGACATGGCAAGTGGCTGCCTATTTGGCCATATGGAAAAGGTTCAACCCAATGCCTACACAAAGTAGTGGGTTACTTATTAAAGGAAAATGATTGGTGGCCCTAAAAAACTTGCCCCTAATACCCCTAATTTCCAATTTTGGAAACTGTTTTTTTTTTTTTTTTTTTTTTTTTTTTTTTTTTTTTTTTTTTTACCTAAAATGGACTTTCGGGGCATTCGAGCCCCGAAGTCTCGGGCCCTCAATCAGCGTTGTATAAAAGACAAAATTTAGCCTGATTGTTCTTTTTTCTCATTTATAGCTTTCCCAAAATGTTGCACTTTTTGAAAACGGGTGAAATACTATAGATGAATGCTTGGGGGCCCTAAAAAAATTGCCCCTAATTCCCCTAATTTCCAATTTTGGAAACTTTTTTTTTTTTCCTTTTTTTTTTCCTTTTTTTTTTTTTTTTTTTTTACCTAAAATGGACTTTCGGGGCATTCGAGCCCCGAAGTCTCGGGCCCTCAATGGTTACTTATTAAAAGACAAAATTTAGCCTGATTGTTCTTTTTTCTCATTTATAGCTATCCCAAAATGTTGCACTTTTTGAAAACGGGTGAAATATTATAGATGAATGCTTAGATAGAACAAATTCCTGCAAGCGCATGCAATTCTACAAACAATAAACAAATAAAATTTGTTCAATCAAACAAAAACTTGGACTAATCACCATGCTCTTCTTAGATACACGTATATATGTATGTGTAGGCGGAGAGAGAGAGAGAGAGAAAGAGAGAGTGAAAACGCACCAAATGACTCGCTGTGCTAACTAGACTAATCACTGTGTCCTCCTCCATGTCTTCCACACCTCTGTCCTCTACGTCGCTGATTAGGGTGCCATCAACCTCTCCCTCATCGATCCCAATGACTCACCCCAAGATTCTCAACAAAAACTCAAAAACGACTTCAACAATTTCACCAGCATCAAGGCCACCAATCTCTCTTAGCCTCTCGTTGAAGCTCAGATTCCATCCAAGATCCATATAGTCAAGGACCACGATATGAAAGAGAGATTGTGCTTAGGGCATTGAGGCAGAACAGTAAGGGACGCCTCAGAACGGTTAGCGATTATTGCGTGCATCATTGTATTTGTATGATGGTAGTGGTTCAGCGGGAGAGGTGGAACGATATGAATTGTTTCATCTCCAAATCTCTCTCGCGGCTCCAGATCTCCATCTCCAAGTCTCTTTCATTATCAAACACATCAGATAGGAACAGTACGAATTATTTCAGCAGATAAAACAAACTTGGGAATGGAAAGAGTCGTCCTCTTTCATTCATGGCCAGAATAGAAGCACGAATTTGAGAATATTTTATATAAAAATCAAATTAAAATATCTTATACAATCACACTTATTCATGAGCGTGATTAAAAAATATACATATAATCACTCTTATTTAAAAAGTGTGATTAAAAATAAATATTATTAAGTATTATTATAGTAGTGTATATATAATCACACTTTAATTAGAATGTGTGATTAAAATATATATATATTACTCGACATTTAAAATTCCTAAAAGAAGAAATCAATCACAAAAGAATTGATCAACAATTAACTAATCCAGTTCTTGTCTCTCCTTTTAAATTACCTGGTAATGATACTGAAATTAAGAAGGTCATTGAACAAACAATCAAAGACTTACAACATAAAGATAAAAAATTAGAAGATGAAATTATTACTTTAAAACTTGATAAAAGTTTAGACAATTTCCAAACCAATGAACATGAATCCCCACATGAATCTGAACATGAATCTGATCCTACTAATCCTGATAATTTAATATTCGACAACCGATCACACCACTCTCAATCCAACCATCCTGACGAAAAACGGTTAAGCCTAATCAACAAACTTTACATTCAAAAATGGTATTCTAAAATCAAAATAATTGTAAATGATTTTGAATTAGAATTAATTGCCTTAATTGATACTGGTGCTGATTTAAATTGTATCCAAGAAGGATTACTTCCTACTACATATTATGAAAAATGTCAAGAAAAATTAACTTCTGCTAATGGTACTAAAATGCATATCAAATATAAATTACCAAAAGTACATGTTTGCCAAGATAATGTATGTATAAATATAAGAAAAATTATTCACCTTCCAAATCCAATGATAAATTTTATACTAAACCTAAAAAGAAATATTACAAATCCAAAT